TTCTGCTTCTGGTATACTTAATTAATTTTGCGTTTAGTTTTTGTCTTTTGCTAGTTGTTCTTCAGTTCTGTTTTGACCTGCCTAATTGTACTTTTACACTTGACTTGCCAAAGTTTGTTCCTTTTATTTTCTTCAGTAGGATTTGACTTCCAGTTTTTAAAGGATGTCTTTTTAATCTCTAATTGACTCTTTAACTCTGTGTAGCCATAGTGACATTGTTTTGGTCTTTTTTTAACTTCTTTTTTTTATTTGGGGGATACATTTACTTTGAGCCCCTATTATGGTGTGTTTAATCAGTTTCCATGCAGCTTGCAGGCATCTCACTCTTGTTACTGTTCCTCATTTTTATGCAGTTCCTCTTTTTGATGTTTAGATGCTACTTTGGTGGCTTTCATTGGTATTTTCCCCCCTACAAGGATGTTAAATTTAATTACATTGTGATTGTCATTTATGAGCAGTTACTAGTGGATTGTGGATACTTCTGCTTGTTGGAGCTACCCCTTCCCTTACTGCCACTGAACTTCAGAAACCTTCTGAGAAGCAAAACCTGTTGAGGCCAGGCAAGTGCTGTCTTTTGGCCCTGAGCATGTGGAGTCAAAACTGTGTGGCCCCAAATGCCTCAGTGCCTCTTTTTTCTCTATCTTGCTGTAGAAAAACTGTTGATTGTGATGAGCCCTGGGGGAGAGCTTAGGGTTGACAATAAGTAAACATGTTTTCAAAAGTGTTAAACCAAATCTGCGCTAGTGTTTAAAACCATGATAGTTAGTTAGCTAATTCTTCAACAAAAAAACTTTAAAAACAGATTCCAACGAGAAACTGCAGAACTGGAATTAATTTGCAAACTGGACAGCATCAAACTAGGCCTAAATAAAGACTGGGGGTGGATGAATCACTATAAAAACTAATTTCCCCCTGCTGATACTCTCACCTTCTTGTCAACTGTTTGAAATGGACCACCTTAATTACATTGGCCTCATTAGCATTACAAAAGTGATTGTTGAGAATAGCCCACTTCTACCTTAATTGAATTGTTAACCCGCCCCCCCCCACTTTGTAAGGCAACTCCCATCTTTTCATATGCTGTGTATTTATACCTCCCTACTGTAATTTCCACTCTATGCATCTGATGAAGTGGTTTCTAGCCCACGAAAGCTTATGCCCAAATAAATTTGTTAGTCTCTAAAGTGCCACAAGGACTCCCTGTTGTTTTTACTATTATTCTTTTATAGTCTTAAACGTGACTTGTTTGCTACTCTAGATGTGGCTGTGAGAGGGTTAAGAAGGTTAAACTGAGGGGGATAGTAAGTAAACTTTTCTTTTCCTTTTCTTATTGTGGTTTGTTTTCCATAGTGAACTTGCTTTCAGGGTTAATTAGTCTAAATAGTTATGTTGAAGATGCTTGATGTATTAGATTTTTGTCTCATTGGTTAGCGTAACATTAATCACTATGTGCTTTTTGCCTTTGTAACAAACTTTTTAAATCTTCTTTTAAAGAATCCTCCTTTTTTTAGGCCAGAAGGGATTATTATAATCATCTGGTCTGACTTCCTGCATAACAAGGCCAAAGAATCTTACCCAGTAATTGCTGCATTAAGTCAAAATTTCTGCTTGAGCTATAGCATATCTTTAGAAGTCTGCATATCAAGACTTCAAATAATTGAGAATCCACTACATATGTAAGTAAGTTATTTCAGTGGTTATTTACCCTTGCCATTAAAAATGTGCACTTTATTTCTAGTCTGAATTTGTATAACTTCAGTTTTCAACCATAGAATCTTGTTATGCCTTTTTCCTTTAGGATTCAAGTCTCGTCCCAATATAGGTACTTTTAGTTTTGTGATTTGTATTACATTCTCTTGCCTGAACTAAAGAGATTGAGCTTCTTTAGGTTTTCTTTAAAGGCATGTGTGGAGAATGTGAGAAATTTCTGTATTTTTATTAAAAAGATATGTTACTCAGTTACCCAACCACTTTTGTATTGTTACCTACTGGGTATGAAAGGATTAATTTCTTCCCAGGAACAAGGGGAATAAGAGATCAAATGACTAGGTCATGTAGACATGCTGGAATTGGAATGAATGGACTATCAAGATCTGTCAAAATGTGAATGGAGCTACCTTGGAGATGCACGGAAAGACCAATGGTTGGACCATTAACTCGTAACAGCTGCCAACCAAGGGGACTTTTTGGATGTGGACAGTCAAATTAGATGTCTGACCACAACTCCACCCTTCCCCGGGCAGGGGGAGGACATGTGAAAACAGCATGACTGACACTTGAAACAAAGGACTCTGAAGTGTTAGCAAATGCTGATAAGAGCCTTGTTCTCACAGTTGACGGTAATTCAGTCTCATATGGGTGGGCAAGATGAGGAAGGTTGGCTGCAAGTGTGCAGTCTGCCTTCCTGATGATGGCAAAATGAAACCTTGCTAACTAAACAAGGAGATGCTGGCAAGCCAGATGGAAGACTTTTAGTTTCGCTTGATCATTTTAACCCAAAGCCATAAATACTGTATTCCAGTGGATTAATAAATGCCAGTTTATTTTATAAAGGCTGTCTTTTGTCACTGCAAACTGTTGCTGGTTGCATAGCTCCCACGAGAGTAAGTCTCCAACGGGGGGGTCCAAGCTCAGTTGGATCGGCTGAAGAAGCTACAGTGAGAAACAGGTGCGGCCGGCAAGGATGCAGTCTCAGGGTACGTCTTCACTACCCGCCAGATCGGCGGGTAGCAATCAATCTATTGGGGATTGATTTTATCGCATCTCGTCTAGATGTGATAAATCTATCCCCGAACGTGCTCCCGTCGACTCCGGAACTCCACCAGGATGAGAGGCGGAAGCGGAGTCGACGGAGGAGCCACGGGGGAGCCGCAGCCATCGATCCCACGCCATGAGGACGGGAGGTAAGTCGATCTAAGATATGTCTACTTCAGCTACGCTATTCTCGTAGCTGAAGTTGCGTATCTTAGATCGATTTCCTTTATCATTGATAAAGGTATTGAATAGCATAGCCCAGAGAGCAGATCCCTGTGGGACTGCACTAGAAACCCCTCACTTAGGGCATGTCTTCCCTACCAATGTTAAAGCGCTGCCGCGGCAGCGCTTTAACGTGGCTTGTGTAGTTGCGCCATAGGACTGGGAGAGAGCACTCCCAATGCTAAAAAACCACCTCCACGAGGGGAAGAGCTACCAGCACTGGGAGCACAGTCTACACTGGCACTGGGAGCGCTGTCTGCACTGGCACTTTATAGTGCTGAAACTTGCAGGGCTCAGGTGGGTGTTTTTTCATACCCCTGAGAGAGAAAGTTGCAGCGCTGTAAAGTGCCAGTGTAGACAAGCCCTTACAGTTACTTTGTGATCTATCAATTAACCACTTTTTAGACATCTTGAGGTCTTAAAAGTTGTGGAGTCCATGTTCCAACCCTTCCTGTTCTGTTGTCTTTGAGCTTTAGGACTGTTAGGGAGGGGACAAATGTGGTAGAAACACATGCAGGAAACCGTTCTGCTGCTATAATTAAAACAAAATTACTATCTTGTGATTTGAGGGACCAAATTACATGTACTGTTAGTATGTGGTGCTTGAATTAAAGTGGTGGTTGTACTTTCACACAGCAATCATTCTATTTTTGGAAACCCAGTGAAATTCCAAGATACAAATGCATTTTTGAAAGGATTAGTTAAAAATTCAATTCATGTCAGACTGATGAAGCACTGAACAGCTGGTGCTATGTTGGAAGTAGCTACTGATAAAGAGTTGTCATTCATGTACTTTAAAAATACCTCTCCTTGTACCAGATTACTCTATCAGCTTTAAGTTAAGGTGATTCAAGGTAAATGTATACCTAGGAGTAGTTAGATTTCTAAATCTGTCTGCAGGACTTCATAAACTCATATAATGCATAACACCAGCCTAGACTATAACTATGCCTTTTTTGATGGCAAACCTCAAAATAGCATTCTTATGTTCTGGCAGGATCCTTAAACCAAACCAGTGTGGTGGTGTTCTCCCCCCACCCCCCCACAAGCTAGTCCAAGTATACTTGGACAAAATACTAAGGACCGTAGCAGAAAACTTTAAACTGCATAAGTTGGGCGCCTAAATAAGTGGCTTTGTTTTGAAAGTGATCAGCCTCAGCTTTCTCTCTCCTTGGAATGGGAGCTATAAGTGCTCACCTTTTTTAGGTAAGCACCCAAGCTTACAAATGTGGGTCATCATAGATTCTTTTTTTATGGGTAGACTTTTGTAAAGAGGTGGGTTTTGCATGAACATCTCTGGATGGTCACACTGGACTACATCTCCATTTCACGATAGTTTGTCTGGCTCTTTCTAGTTTACATGTTTCTAATGAGCACATTTGAGAGTCATAAATAACAAGGAAGTCCTTGTGGTAGCCTAGTTCCACTCCAACAAGGTGATATTTGACACGGAATTGTGTTCTAGAAGCTGTTTTAATTTAATTCCCCCCCCCCCATGCTTAACATTGTGTGTGGGGGGGAGGAGGACTATGAAAAATGGACCAGTTTACACTGTTCATAGTGTTGTCTTCCTGAGACTGCAAAAGAGCCTGAAATTATAGTTCTCATTCCTCTCAACAGTGTAACACTGAAACCTCAATTTGATAATTTGTGTCAACATTAACTGTTTCACTACTGATCTCGTTAGCAGAAACATCCACCTAATGTGTTTACCTGCAATCTCATGCACACCAACTCTCTCTTGGGCAACTTCTAAAACCTCCAGTTCTGCCTTCTAATTTGTGCACAAGTTAGACATTAGTCAGTACAAAAATGTGCATATATTGAAAACAGAATGTGGGAACACTGTAAAATTGAACTTAGTATTAAAATAAATATAGGCTATTATACTGATTGCTCTAATATTTGATTCACTAAAACTGCCTATTTAAAACTATTATCTGAAGCTGCCACGAAATCCAGGGACTTTGCTACAGAAATTGTCCAGACTACACAAGGCCTTATCAATAGGAAACAATACTAACCTGTAAAGACAGAATGCATTTTCTCTGGTAGTGATGGGACTCCTCTCTGAGATGCAGTTAATTTCTGTGAATTGCACTGCTGTAACTCAGTGCTTCAGTAAGTGCATTTCAATTGCTTCAATAGTGTGAAATCTGCTTTATTGCAAATTTGATGAGTCTGTTCTATGTATCTGTGTATATTTGTGTCTCCTCTATACTTTCTTATAAAGAGAGGAAAACTATTCTCCCTGCATCCAAGTCTAGTGCTGACAAAAGGCTTCCACATATAAACAGATATTCCAGGAATGCAAACAACCTCTCATTTGGCTGCAGGAGAGCCTTCTGTATTTAAAGTCCTTGCTGGGAAGCAAAGGAGAGTCCAGACTAAAATAGTTCAAGCTGGCGGGAGGGAGGGGGTTGTTGATGCTTGATAAAGTGTAATTAAAACTTAATGTTTGTTTCTTTTTACATTATTGTAAAATAATGCTGATTTAAATTATTTAAAATCAAACATTAAGTGAGACTTCAAACTAACTTGTCTGTGCTTTTGATGATTTTCTGGACTTCAGTATGAGTTTATAGGGAATGTAACCTGCAGTGTCAAGTTAGTTTTGACCTTCACTACTTCACATTAATATCTTGTGTGGCCTGTAATGTTGCTGAATAAAGGGAAGAAATTCTCCCTGCAAACCAGTATAGAAAAGTGTGTATGCTCCTATTTTCCCTCTCATAAATACAAAAAGGGAAACTTTGATACTGAAAGACATCAAATCTGAATGCGATAAAAAGTAAATACCTTATACAAATATACCTGTTTATACCTGTGGAACTCAATACCAGACATCACCAAGGCCAAGAGACTAATAGAGTTAAAAGATTAAAATTTTCCATCCAATTCTTTATGTACGTTAACATCATGGTTGCTTTTAGCGAGCTGATCTAGATTAAGCAGAAGTTTTTGTTGATCTGTCCACAGTGACACCCAAGATCTTTCCTGAGTGACAAACATTAATTGGAACCCAGCAATGATAGTTCAGATTGTTCCTTTCACTGTAACCATGTTTTGATAAATGCAGTTAACTTCCCATCATGTTGTTCATTCAGCTAGCTCCTTAGGTCTAAAGTTTGTGTCTCACAAAATTTAGTTATCCACAGATTTTGCCACCTCACCGTTGATAATGTTTAATAAATTAATCGTTGGTTTTGGTAAGGAAACTTGGTGTGCTTCATTATTAACAAATAGGCATTTTTCAGAGTGGTAGCCATGTTAGTCTGTATCAGCAAAAACAAGGAGGAGTACTTGTGGCACCTCAGAGACTAACAAATTTATTTGGGCATAAGCTTTCATGGGCTAAAATCTACTTCATCAGATGTAGGGGGTGGAAAATACAGTAGGAAGATGTGTATATACACAGTACATGAAAAGATGGGAGTTGCCTTACCAAGTGGGGGTCAGTTCTAACGAGACAATTCAATTAAAGTGGGCTATTATCAACAGGAAGAAAAATCAACTTTGTAGTGGAATCAGAGTGGCCTACTTCAAACAGTCGACAAGAAGGTGTGATTAACAGTAGGGTGAAATTAGCTTGGGGAAATTAGTTTTTGTAGTGAACCATCCACTCCCAATCTTTATTCAGGCCTAATTTGATGGTGTCCATTTTGCAAATTAATTCCAGTTCTGCAGTTTCTCGTTGGAGAACAAATTGGCATTTGTTCATATTACTTGTTTTGTCTCTTGGACAATCCATGATGGTTCTTTTAGCTCTCACCACCTTGTGATTACTTGAATTTTGTGAAGTAATTTGTCAAGGATAATTTAATTCACCATTTGTTTAGTGTTCTCTTTTTTGATAAGCCAAGATAAAGTACTATTGTTGCTTTAATTGAAACTTTTTTTGTTTTCTAGCTATATAACAGAAATTTGAGGTCTTCACTCAATCTTCAGAGTCTCTTCCTTATCCAGTTAGATGAATCCATACTCTATTAAACATTTAGGAATAATATTCTGTCATCTAAACTAAAAAAATAAAAATAAAAGCCAACACATGTATCTCAATCTAGATTGAGGACATTTGGACTCATCATGTAAGCTTTACTACCACACTAAATGCCATGTCTCTTGTACTCTTTCTTATATGGTGTTACTGGATACATTTGTTGATACAAAATAGATGGGATCAGAGTTAAGGTTGTTTAACTATGCATTTTCTGACTCTAAAAGATACAATTGTTTAGAGGCTTTTTCAACTGTACCTTAATTTCCTGGCTTTCATTTTTCATAACTACAACTTAACTTTGTAATAATGCTTTTCTTAAATAACTGATACCTTTAGACCCATAATTCTTTCCTCAGAAATCGTTGTCTTTGACTTGTATGTTACACGTTCCAGTGATCTATGATCCTGTAAAGAGAGCCCTTTTTCAATTTTTGTGGGTTTTGTGAATTAAATCTAAGCCTTGTTACACTGGCATCTGAGTAATTTCCTTTCCTGCATGCCAGCCCTCCTCCCCCCAAAAAACACAACCTCTAGGTCTCTTTCCCAATGCTTATTTTAACTGTACCCATTCTATTATACACAGGTACAGAGTCAAACAGTCTGTCCACTTTTTTAGAGGTACTGACAGTGCTGGGAGGGCTGAAAGTTTTAACAAGCTAAATGGAGATAGTAAACAGGATGCCATTCTCAAATAGTCATAATGGTGACATTTAAAGTAAATGTATTTAAACATGAATGTGTTCCCAGTGACAGCTAGAGTAAACCTATGACAATTTGAAATTTTAAAGCAATACCATTTCAGTCAGAATTTTTTTTAAAAAAAATCCAAAACATTAGAACACGGGAGATGAAGAATGTATGCATTTTTTTTACTTCAAAACCATATGAAAAAGTGTAAACTTGGCAGGATGGTGGAGAAATGAGAAGGGAAATGTTGTGAACTGAAACAGCCTCAGTCCCAAAAATATTTTTTAAACTACAATAAACTGAAACTAGGAGTCTAAAACTGCTATCTCGAACTGCAGCATTGCTACTGAAACATGATGTTCATGTTTACTTTAAGGTGTGACTTTCTTTGCAATACTTAAAGTACCTTTGTTTGGACAAGAAAAGTTCATCCTGATAAAGCAGTTTCATATGTGATATCTAAATCTTCCCTTTCCTGCTATAAAGTGCCATCTCTGCAAAATTTCTTTTAAAAGCATGCAGTTGTGGTAATGTTTGCCTACTTTATTTCTCAATATTTTCTGCTTTAACATTTTACATGACTGTAATCCTACAGTATGTGGATAATTGTTCAGACACATACAGAAGCTTCATCTTATGGAACTGTGAACATGAGCTTTACAACAGCTTATCCCAGCAAGTTTGTTTGAAGTTTTATCTTGCGGTTGCCTCATGTTCTCTAAAGTGACAGAGTTCACCGGTAAAGGGCTGAACAACTTAGAATTTAATTGCTGTGTAATAAGCCTTATCCCTCAATGAAATACTTCACTGAGGCTAGAGAGTGAGTGGTTTCTGGCAGAAAGAAAAGCAAGGGGAAAAAAACTGCAAAACTGGCATCTGTACATTCCTCCGGAGTTTTCCTTTTTTTAAATTGGGAGCTGCTTATATAGATGGTTCTCTAAACAGGTTTGTTTCTTTCCATACCATCCCATTTAGTCTTTGGAATGCATGCAGCAAAAGGGCAAGCCCCCAAAGTGACTTTCCAATCTGTTTTTGTGATTCCAGCCAAGTTCTCTTTAATGTATGGCGCAGGCTAAGTTGAGCTGGCTCTCTTAGAATATCACAGAACTAAAGCGCAGCTGCTGCTCTAAGTGGCACTGTGTGATAATAGAAAGGCTCTGCTATTTACTTGGACTAGAGTGCCTGGACTGGCTCTCACAGATATTATATGAAATCTGAAAGCATGAGGATAAAAGAGATTTCCTTGCGGCAAGATCCTGATCTAAGAAAGGAGTTGGCATTGCTAGCTCGAGGATGTGATTTTGTTTTACCTTCTAGATTCAAGAAGAGACTAAAAGCTTTCCAGCAGGTCCAGGTTTGTTTATGTTCTTCTCTATATAACTGCTTCCCCTACTTGTGAAGGCACAACTTTGATCTCCATAAACCTCATGAAATACATGAAAGTTCTTCACTAACTAGGAATATTTGAATACTATTTTTTTTTCAAAATGTAACATGTTTGTGTGTTTTTAAAAGTAGATACTGTGCCTTAGTCCTGTTACATGAATTGTGTATTGTTTTGAAAGCAAAAAAAATCATAAATTTAGCATAACACATATCTGCATGATTTGTTTGCAGATGTGTGTGAAATAGAAAGGTTGGTATACTTAATTACCACTATTTGAGTTAAAAGGATAGTTCCATTATAATCTACGTGCACTTTCCCCATGGATATTAACTTATTCCTCACTAAAACTAGATACAAAAAAGTAGGCTGCAGCTGTGCCCAAATATGAATGTACCCCCTTTATCATGCTCTGTGTGGAATTCCACACATTATGTAACCCAATAAGACATTACCATTTTGGACTTCATGGATCAGATCAGTCCATACTAAAGAAAATTTAAGATTTTACTGTGTATTGCACAAGTATCTGCGTAACTGCTACTTTGCCACCAGTGAGTTAAATCCACCATTTTACGAAGTGGGTTCATTATTATTTGAGTGATTATGCATTTCAAATATTGCTAATAAGTTAAAATTATACTTGTATAGAGAAGTGCTCCATTATTTTGTCAACTTTTGCAAGTGTGCTAGTTTAGTGATGAAAAATTAACAAATGTGATTTTTAAAAGGTATCAAGTATTGTCATAATTTCCTGATGTATTAAAGCTTTATTAAAGAGTTAATGCATTCATCCTGTTTTTAACTTACACCCACCTCCAATCTATGAGCAAAAGCTGTCTCCAAACTATCTTGTATAGCACACCTGACCTTTTTGTACCCTATTTATTTAGGAAAAGATTGGCTGCCAAATTCAGAATTTCCTACTTTTTGTGGAATTAAAGGTAATCAGAAAGTAAATATGGCCTACAATTTAATTCTAAATTCCAAGTCTAATGTACTAGTCTCTTTCAGGTGACCTTCAAGAGAAGGCCAAAGAAACCCATGACCCTATAAATGCTTTGGTCTCCTATTAACTTAATATATTGGATTTAAAAATTGAATGGTGGCGTTTTAGATTTGGTTGAATTAAACTTGATTTGAAAAGGTCATTCCTTATTTTAAAGCAAACGTATAATGCTGACCCTGCTATTTTAAA